CTACCGCACGAGGGCGCTAAAAAAGCACCGGAAAGCTGTTTTATTTCTAAGAACACACGTCTAGTTGAACCAAAAGTATCTCGGTACGGTCAATACGGTGAACTAAAAGTGTCGTTGAGCGCTCCGCATGCAGCGAACGTAACGTATCGAGCCGCGTACGTATACGCTCATTACGTACGCCCAACTAAAGGTGTCTATTTTCGAGAAAGAAGGCGCCAGCACTTCATAATGATCTAGTGCCTCACCGTCATCCTCCGCCACAATTACCTACGTTGTTATCGTCATAATAGTGTGTGTGTGTGTGTGTGTGTGTGTGTGTGTGTGTGTGTGTGTGTGTGTGTGTGTGTGTGTGTGTGTGTGTGTGTGTGTGTGTGTGTGTGTGTGTGTGTGTGTGTGTGAGTGTGAGTGTGAGTGTGTGAGTGTGAGTGTGAGTGTGAGTGTGTGCGTGTGCGTGTGTGTGCGTGTGCGTGTGCGTGTGTGTGTGTGTGTGTGTGTGTGTGTGTGTTTGTGTGTGTGCGTGTGTTTAAGATGTTCCAGAGGGCGAGTGAGTGAGTGATCGGCAGCTCTTTCCTTCATTGCACCCTAACTAAGCCTGCAGCTACATTGGCCGCAGCGCAGAAGCGAGTGTATCTGGGAACTATAGGAATGCCATTCTTCTCCAGTCATCCTTCATGACCCACGTACTTCTGACACGCCTCGTTCTTCCTTTACTCTCGCAGCACTACCAACGAGCACACAAAAAAGAAGAAAAGAAAGAAAGCTTCGGCAGCGTTCGGAAGATTCTCCTATACGCTCGGCTCATTAATCTCGGCGCGCCGGCAGTGGCGAAATTCTCGCTCGCTCGGCTGGCAGTGTATACGGCTTCCCGGAACCTGCTGGAGTCTCTTCCCAGCACTTCGACGATAAACCGTCGCTGGCACGATCCATTTGTTTCTCATTACGATCTGTTATAAGGCCAAGACGCGCACTTTGTGCGAGGATGTATCCTTTCGTTTTCGCCCTCTTGTCTGTGCAAAGTGCCTCTCGTGCGGAAAGTCACTGTTCTACTTCCGCTCGTGAACGTCGAAATAACGATAAAGGAATATTGCTTTTGAGAATTTCATTGTCCCATTTCATTATAAATTAAGACTTACCCCCTTATTCAGAAACGCTCCTTGACTTGAACTTTACTGGCCACTGCCTTCACTGCAGCATGAACGCGTCTAGAGGGCGCTGCTTTATGCGACGCCAAGGCAGCACAAACGCGTTTCGAAAGCACAACATTGAAGACATTTGCAAGTGAAGTTGTTGAAGTCAAGAAGCGCTTCTGAATACGGGGGTGAGATGCAGCATCAAACTTGAAAACTGACCACTGGTGGCTGCGGCGTTCCGCATCGGCGTCACGCAGTTTTTTTTTATATGTGCAAAAGAAACTGTCACTTTGCTGTCATGAGCCCTTGTAAATGAGGCCGTCAGGCTCATCAGGCTGTCGGAAAACAGCCTTTATTTGCCACTCCTCTGTTTGTTGGTGAAAATGAACACAAGTAAAGCTCATTGATTCATTCAAAATCTTACTTTGCGCAAAGCTCTGTTTGGAATAACCTCAATTTTAGAATCAATGCAAAACTCTGCAAGGTAGGAAACTTTGCGAGAGCATGGGGGGAGAGGGGAGGCAATACATCGACTGAAAATACAAAAAAAAAATAAAGTAGCTTTTCCGTCGATTCGTCTTAAAGAAATTCATAGGAGAATCTGTGAGGTTTTTCTATAGCTTCATGTTGCACATTTGCCGAGCGAATCACCATCTGTGAACAACCACACACCAGGGCACCTTCAGCCTATATTATGTAGAGTGTTGAGGTACCTGCTTCGTGCGCGAACGAGAAAGGCACCAAACAGGTTGCTGATTTTGAGCAAGAAACGAGCTTATAGTTACAGCGTTAGCTTATTACAGCGGTGAATAAAATGATTTGAGGGCAAAATTTCCTTTGAAGTCGGCATCAACTTGGAGCTGCGCCACTTGCTCAACCCGAGGCGAAACGACGTTCTAGCGATGTGCAACACTAAGCCGCTTTTGCCTGAAAGAAAGGCGAGAATGGCGATGTGGAAGCTTGCGATGAGAAATTGGAAAATAAGGGGTTGGTGTATCATGGATGTAGAATTTAGGCCTACCCCATGTTTTCAAATTTCAGACCACTGTTCATGTTTTGCCGAAAAAAACGTCACTTTCTCGCCTTAATAAAACACAATGAATTTCTCTTTTGTGCAAATGTGTGTGTTTGCGACGATGCGCATTATTTTTTGCGTATATGTCGTCCCTGTATATACAGGGTGTTTTTTAGCAATATAGATTTTTGGTTAGCTATAAATAGGTACGAGTAAAAAGACAGGCGATAAACCAGACTAAAATCTCCGGGAATCTCATTAAAAGTTGATATCTACCTATCTACAACGGTACCGATTGAATTCCACTGCATTGCAACACCAACAAAGGTATTGCCTACACGGATGTTCCAAAGGGATACTGAAGGTTTCATGACAAGTGCCTACTTCAGTTAAAAAAAGGAATTGGTTCTCATATAAGCACCAAGATCAAGCAAATAAAGGCACTATATAATAGCACTAAACGATATAGAAGTTTCTTTAGAATACACTCGACATGTACACAGAGTGGTTGCGTGTATATCGACTATTGAAAAAAAAATCATACATGTATATTCCTATCTGCTCCTGTTGATGACGAATATTGTCCCGTGTTAATTACTGATTGATTAATATGTGGGGTTTAACGTCCCAAAACCATTATGTGATTATTAGAGGCGCCGTGGTGGAGGGCTGCGGAAATTTAGACCACCTGGGGTTCTTTAGCGTGCACTCAAATCTGAGCACACGGGCCTACAACATTTCCGCCTTCATCGGAAATGCAGCCACTGCAGCCGGGATTCGAACCCACGACCTGTGTTCTGTGTTTATAAGCTGGCTGTCTACTTATATGAGCCATATGATTTAGAGGATAAGCAATTATCTTTCTTTTCGGCCTTGTAGATCGCGATGCCAAAGTAGCCATGCATCAACAGCAATTCGCATATATTTCGTTCGTGAGCGAACGAGTCGTTGCGGTCACGTAGCGCTCGTAGCGGTTCCTCCTGAAAGGTGCAGGCACGCATTTGCAGCGTCAGTGGTGGTTTCATGCACTACGTGCTCTCTGCACATCGTCCTTCCACGATGCAATAAACATTCCCCAATATTTCAAATGCGGGAGCAGGGATGTAGAATTCCCAGAACGAAAGGTCAGAATCTATTGCACGAAAATAAAAAAAAGCCATACTATCACAATATATGGCCAATGCCATGCCGACCATAAAACATACGCGGTGTTCGGCTAAGATGAAGAAACAAATATAGAATGCTCACGTTTGTTCCTGCAGTAACTTAAGAGAGGGGAAGCTGCACACACATAATAGGAACTATTACGCATAATTATAGTTACATAATAATTATAATGATTAAAATTACATAATAATAACTTAGCCACACCCACTAACATAATCAGGAGGGGGTACTGCGACTCAGGGGGACCTGCAAAGTCAGCCCCATACCTTCACCCAATAGACAGTGGGGGGGGGGGGGGGGCTTCAATGAATTTTTATCTCCTCTGAAGGGGACTGACGTCACTAAATCTTTCGTGTAGCCCTTCATGTAGAGCTACTTCTGTGCTGGACGCGATACGATGTGTCTTGATTGGGAGAATGATCATTGAGGTATACAATTAGGAAGTAAATTAAAATATATTCTAAACGTTTGCTGTGTGCGACTATTCGTGTGGGGTGTCCTTGCATAGAGAAGAGACCCACAAGAGGCTTGTTACAGACTCGAAATGTGATGGCATCACCATTCCTCTAAGCACCATTTACTGCAACAACATCGAAAACCAAAGACAAGGACGAAGTAAAAGTATTGACCAAGACACTGTCAAAGGACGAACAGTTCACTGACTTCACTGGACTTGCCGAAGTGAGTGAGTGAGTGAGTGAGCCTTGTACTTTGTCCTTGTTTTCAGTTCCCGCTGGTTCATCCACACGTGAACAAAGTGGCCCAGCTTTTTCACGCTTCACAAGAACTAATCTTGGTTGGTACACAACAGTCTATCTTTTCAGCTACTGAACATCCTTAGCACTTCGCATGAGAGCGTAACTGGAGAGAGTGGTGTTTGCGATCACTTTAATTCCGTATGCCTGGTCCCACTATGAAAGCGATAAAAACGACACCGCTAATGTGGAAAAAAAAAAGAAAAAACATGGTAGTACAAAGACTGTGATATTAACCAGGATAAACACCGGCTGGCTACCCTGATCTGAAGAAGGGAAAGGGTGAGCGAAAGAATGAGAGAAAAGGGGAGAGTCTGTAACGCCACTACAATGTTATGAAATAGCACTCACTGAAAGGGCTGTCTGAGACCAGTGATAACTTGTCATTCAGCCCCGTTACACCATCTTTCTATCTGCCTGTCTGGCTACGAGCACGACCCGAAGCGGCCCTTTGCACCCACCGCTTCGTCCTCGCCCCTCCAACGATCCGACACGTAAAGTGACGATCCAGTAGAATGAGAGAGGCACTCGTTCCCCGAACACCCAGACGGCGTCGAGCACGAGCCGCAACGGCCCTTTGCTCCCCTTCGTTCATGTCCCACCAACGGCGGCGATGCAGGAGACTGAGAGGCATTCGTTCACCGCGCACCCAGGCACAGCCCGCGCAGCAGCCCATCGGAGAGTAGCGGTACAGCGCCATCTAGAATGTCCTCTCTCAACTGCAGTTTGTATGTACTTCTATGAGACAGGGCCATCGATTATATTGTTCGGGAGACATTGTCGGTTACGCCTGACAAGGTCAGACTAAAAGGAGCTTAGCTCCTAAAACCAGCAATGATGTAAAGACCCGCGAATAAAATTTGGCCGCTTTCGGACAAGATTATACAGTTTAACGGCAAGTGGCGCACTTCGTAGGTGGAAGTGGGAACTCGCCTTTCCGATGAAGTCAGCCGCGTTGAACAGCGCCATCAGAAGCACGGGCATCCACAAGCCCAGGCGGCAGGAAACGATGCGGCTCTCGATTCCCGGAAACAGCGACAGCGTCACCATGTAGACGAGCGCCATGCTGATCATGTAGGGCCACACTTTGCGTCCCACCTGGTACCGAGCCACCAGGCCACCTGAAAGGGGGAGAGCGCTGCACGCTGAGCGATAGGGACGACGTCATTTGGTTTGCTACGCTGACATCACTGGGGCACGCACTGACGACATGACTGCGCATACGCAGTACTTAAAAGCACCGGAATAAGTGGGGAGACCGCGAAAAAAAATTAAACGTATTGGTACTGACGGAAGCACGTTGCGCTGAAAACAGCTGTCTCATGAAATAAACGCATGGGCTCATGTTTTAAACTAGCCCACTTTCCTAAGTTCCCCTTGCCGCCATTTCATTTTACGTTAACTCTGCTTTGTCGAAGTACGGCTTTTACAGCAAACAGACACATTTCAATTATGTGGCACTGATCTCAGAGTCGATTAGCGTGGGGCCCCAAGCTTCTATGAGTGCTCAGAGCATTCATCACAAGTTCCGCAACAGCGGCGCCATGTCATTCCGTAAATACAGTGTAGCGTAGGAGAGGCAAAAGACGCTCAAGCAGGCACCAACAGCGCAAAAAGAAACTGAAGGAAAATCTTTATTAAGCGAACTTGTACCCACACGAAAGAAAAACTAAACTGGAGGTCATACGGCCGTGAACAGCCTGCCAAGAAAAAAAACGCCGCTCAGCAACGATTGCAGGACGGAAGGCTCGTCCACAACGAAGGCAGGGCGGACAAAGCGGCAAAGCAGAGCGCTGCGAAAAACCTCTTCTCCAGGCGGCAAAAACGGGCAGAAAACGAGGTCGCGAGTGCAATCACTCTTGCAATGATTGAATGAATGAATTTTATTCAAAATGAGGTCCAACAGTTTCATTCGGGTAAGGCAGAGAGAAATGGTTGCCCGCATGTCGCACCTGAGTGGTGACACGCTATCTCATCGCCGTATCTGTTGCAGAGCGAGCGTGACTACCAATTTTGTGAGCATGCAAGACGCCGCCCCACGGATCTGCACCGCAAGTGAAAAAAAAATTACTTCATATGATTTTAGTCATGAGGCACTGGATGAGGGGCCCTCTCCCTGATGAACACAAAGCACAAGCGAAGGCTAGGCGATGGGAGAGTGCAGCAAAGAGCTAGAGGAGAGCGTGGAGAACGGCTTGGTCGGGCGCACTGTCTGGCTGGCATTGATAAAATAGCGGAGGCGTTGGTACCGTACTAGCCCACGTGGCAATATATAGTCCGGAAGAAAATGTTCCCAAGCGTGCCATCGGGTATTCGAAGTTGCGAATTCTCGCTATAACACGTGTCACTATGTGTATCAGACCTTAAGAAAGGCTGACATGATTCACGTGAGCTTCGATGTGGTAATACCCACAGTCGCGCGGAAAGTTCCCCATCATGTGTGTGTGCGGGGGGGGGGGGGTGTTTAGTCACTGCCCCTCCCCTTTTCCCATTGGTCGATGGTCACGCATTCATCAACGTCACGAAAACGTGACACCCGGTGCAGGTGCTGGGTACGACGAAACTGTCACTGTTTAAATGACCGAATTTGTGGCTGATAAACGGAAAGTAAGATTGATCAGTTACTACTGATCGAAGGCAGCACCACCGTTTTCGGAAAGGTATTTAAGCAAGCACTATCGGTTCGTTTTTCTTGCGACACGGCGTTCCCCAAAATGACTTACTGAGCCTGGTCCGGATCTAGAGTTCGAAAAACAAATGGGTCATCGTAGCTACCGACTAGCTCACCCACTACGCCGCAAAAAAGGCCCGGCCCAAAGGTCGTGCATCCGAGGTAGCCAAATTCTTCGTCGAAAACATCGTCCCGCGTAAAAGTGCCCCGGAGGTCTTCATCGCCGACAGAGGTACGGCATTTACTGCTGACCCTAACTCAGGTGATTTCGGCATACAGCCAGACAAGCCAGACGACAACATACCAACCACGGGCCAATGCATCATCGATGCGCATAGAACACGGTCATGCGAGAAACGGTGCAAATGTCGCAGTAAGGTGACCGCCAACGATGATCGACGCCATGTTACGCAACGTCTCCGACGAAGAAAACTTCGATGTCACTATCTACGGTGCGTGTGCCGAAGAAGCCCGACAACTCGCCGGTTTACGCATCCAGACCCAGAAAAAGACTGACAGCCGTCGTTACAATTTTCGATGACCCCACGTATAATACCAGCCTGGCGAACGTGTCTGAGCCTGGACGCCAATACGACGACATGAACTTACAAGCTTCTACAACAATATTTCGCACCATACAGGGCACGTCGACGTCTCGGTGAACTCCACTACGAGGTCATCCCCGACGGCACGACGAACTCTCGTCAGCGCCAGGCACGCCCCCAGGCCGTGCATGTGATTTGCCGGAAGCCTTTTTATGCTAGTTCATGAACTGTACTCCAATTTTGCTTAGTCTGCTACTTTTTTTTTCGTATAGCATTCCTGTTTTCATGTTCCATTTCAAGGATCGCGGCGGTGCTTTTTCAGAGGGGGGCAATGTCAGGCGTGTTGTTGCTCTGTGTTTTGTGTTTTGTGCGGTAGTGCTCTGTTTTTACCCCCCCCCCCCAAGGATGGTCAGCAATGACCGTCATAGATAGCGTCTTTCTGCTCGAGAAGCTTCACAGTTGTGGTATATCGTTGTGTTAACAGTGCGCGTGTGACGCGAACATCCATTCTTATTCAAGAGCTTACACGACCACCGTTGATAAGGCTGGAAAGTACAATGCGTGTTGTATAAAATACAGCGCGGCCAGGTCGATGATAAAGTTGATCGGTGGCCGACGCTCTGTTCTCTGGTACCACTGCCAGTGTACATTGCTGTAATCTGACTTCCCGCTTATCGGCCACAATTTCGGCCGAATAAGCAGTCTCATCTTAGACAAACCGACTGCTGGCCACGTGACGACGACGTTACTTCCACTCTTCCCCCGTTATTAGTTGCCCACGCGTCCACACCGTGTCGCTTTACATGTCACTCCCCAGATGTCCCCAGAACTACATGTCCTCAGTCTATACCGACGAATGATTTTCAGTGGGTGAAAAGAAAAACTCCACCATATATATCTCTGCGGCGGTGCGTTCTCTCTGACAGTCGAGTTTCCATGGCAACATACCATCATTCTCCTTTCTTTTTTCGACTAACTCGATCCCTATAGAAAGAGAGAGAGAGAGAACGAAAGAAAGAGAAGGTTCAGCTTAACTGCGCCGTTTAAGGTGCACCAACGCCACTGGCTGTTTCCGGAAAGACAAAGCTTCTTTCCTCGATGTCCGGTTGCGCCAACAGCCCCGCACACTTCGCGGCCACCCAGAGCACGCCAATCAGCTGGAAAAGTCATAAAATGGAGCGCCTGCTACGATATACGGGAATCGCACTGTCTCTAGTTTTTAAGCGAATATCTTGCATCGCCCTCAAAGCCGTACGTAAAGATTAAAGAGTATATACAGGCGCGGGTCTGACGATGGGGAAACGGCAGGGGTGAAAGACCAGAGGTCCTTACCCTCGCCATGTTACGATCATTCGCCAAGCGATCGTACTTCCTTTTATCACTATTCCGGGTTTTCCACGTGCTTTAGCCTGTCATAACAAGGAGCAATAGCGGTTAGTGCGCTGAACAACTCTCTACTGGTTCTTCGTACTTATACACACTCAGCTTAAACGAACAGACCACCCAAACTTGAGTCAGGAAAAGTTCCATTCGGCGTCCTCCGCCCTTCCGCGTGGAGGCACTCTTTTGTGCGCTGTGACACGACCGTGCACGGGGTCCCTTTATGTTTCCGGAACGCGGCCCTTCGGTCGAGTAACTGCGTCTCGGACCATAATCTATGTCGCTATCTTTCACCATGGCGCTCCTGTACTTGATTTTCTATTGAGAGAGTGAGCAATTGTTTCTGCACAACATTAGTTATGACGCACAAGAAAGCCAATGAAATATAGGGGATGTAATTTGTCATGTAACTTCGAAGGAAGGGAACGAAAAGATAGCCGCTTGCAGTGACCGAGCCTGCGACCTTCGAAGAACGCACTTGATGCTGTACCAACTGAACTACAGCCATGGTCATCTCTTAATGGAGTGTCCATTGGCCTTTAAAAATTTTTTTAATTCCCCTTCTAGTTCCTGCAGTAACTTGATATGTGCGGTTTCACGTCGCAATGCGAAGATATGAATATCAGGGACGCCGTGTAGTGGAGGGGTCTGGCAACTTCGACCACCTGGGGACGTGAACCCAAATGTGAGCACACGGGCCCACAGCATTTCCGCGTAGAAAAAAAAAATCAGCCACCGCAGCCGGGATTCAATCACTCGACCTGCGGGTCAGGAGCCGAGTACTTTATCCACTAGACTACTACGGTGGGGTCCTGCAGTAACTTACTGCTGGTCGATGCGCGAAGATTTAACTGTTTATTACGATACCAGCTCGATCGGTATCTGGGTCTCTCCACCATTGTGAGTCGAGGTGTGTGAGTGTTATGTGTTTCTTTGCATATACACCTGTCGAAAAAAAAAAACCTTTTTTCTTTATGTTTCGGCCGTAGAACCGGCCTTCGTCCAAATAACTTGGTTATTCTGACGAAGGGTGTTCCCACAGCCGGGACATTGTGTTTTTCGACGTGTGTCTTCTATTTATTCATATTTTGTTTGCTGCCAGTGTCCAAGAAGTTCTTCCCTGAAATTAAACGTAACACACTGTGATAGCATGCGCAACTGCTTTCATAAAGTGACCCAATGTATCTCAATGTGTACAACGCCCATGGGCCGTGCACGAATGTGCGATTCTGAACAGCCTAGCAACAAGTGCTTACGCGAAACGTACACATCCTGCATGACCAATCTTCATAGCTCATACGGCGACTGCATCGTGCTTGGAGTGTGCAGATTGTAGCTGTTTGTTGGTGCCGACACCATACGTGCTCTGTTTTTTTTTGTTTGTTTGTTTCTTTTCTTGGCCTCGGCGATGATATTGGAGCTGAACACAACGGTTGGAAAAGAAGCGAGACATGCCCGCATCACCGTAAAGGCTGCAAGCGGCGGCCATTTTTCGCTTGCCCACTTTCCCGTCCTACTCCAGTAA